CTCAGAAAGTAACCAACTGTGACTAGTAATAATCAGATATTTAGAGATTAGAAACACATGTACAAACATCTTAATGTCAATTGCATTAAAAATGAATTTTTCTATATGAAAAAAAATTTAAAAAAAAAAAAACAACAACATATAAACAAAAAGCCTGGGAGGCTCTGGTACCCTTGGCTACAGCCCACTTTTCCCTCAGATGAGTACTGGAACAGCATGGCAGGAAGAGGCAGCACCTCCAGCACACTTTTCCCATGAGGTCTACTAGAGGGTTAAGCCTTTTTAGTACCCTCACATCAACTGCTCTGCTTGCTATTTAGGAAAAACTTCCACAGGGCAAATATCAATCCTCTTGCCCCCCACAAGTGGTATCTGCCCAGGACTCAGGACCAGGCAGGGAGGCCTCAGGGCTCCATCTGATGTGCATACAAAATGGAAGTCAAGTTTCCCACTGTGTTCTGAGGTCCTCTAATCCTCAGACATGATCCCGAGGGTTGGGGGGAGATTCCAGGATCAACTAAGTTAGGTAAGTGCCTATCATCACTTGCTTTTAGAAAACCCCCAATGCACATTAAGATACTCTAGCTTCTGAGAAATCCTGCAGTAAAATGACAACTATTTGACTTGGATAAACCAGTAACCAGAACACCAGGCAAATGATTATTTTTTTTCCTCCGTTTTTATTTATTGCTGGGTGTAGTGGCGCACACCTTTAGTCCCAGCACTCGGGAGGCAGAGGCAGGTGGATCTCTGTGAGTTCAGGGCCAGCCTGGTCTACATAGTGAGTTCCAGGTCAGCTGAGGAGACCCTGTCTCAAAAAAAGACCCCCCTCAAATTTTTTTTAAATGTGTTTTTTTGTCTTTTTGAGACAGGGTCTCCCTGTAGCCCCGGCTGGCTGACCTCAATCTCACAGAGATCTGCCTGCCTCTGCACCCCAAGTGCTGGGATTAAAGGCATGTGCCACCATGCTCAACTTAATTGATTTATGTGTATGTTTTGCCTGTGTGTAGATAAGTGCACCTGTGTGTGCAATGCCATGGAGGCCAGAAGAGAAATCAGATTCCCTGGAACTAGAGTTACAGATGGTTGATATCTGCGATGTGGGTGCTGGGAACAGAAACTGGGTCCTCTGCAAGAACAGTCAGTGCTCTCAAATGCTGAGCTATCTCTCCAACCGTTTTCTCTGTTTCAGTAACTATGTTTATTTATTTATTGTGTGTATAGGCGTGTGTGTAGTCAGAGGACAACTTGTGGGAACTGGTTCTCTCCTCCATAATGTGGGTTCTGGAAATTAAACTCAGGTCATCAGACTTGGCAGCAAGTGTCCTTACCCACTGGGCCATCTTACTGGCCCAAGACTATTCTCTTTTTGATAAAGTTTAAATAAGCTAATGAAGTAAGAATATCTTGCAAATTATAAAGCACAATCTAAATGATAGTGCTACTTGAATATTCACACTTGCTAGGGTTCAATTTGAGATAGAATAAGAAGAGATGTGAGTATCAAGTATGTCCTTCTTCTCCATAGTCAGGGTGACCCTGACAGTTTACCACACTCATAGCAGGACACTTTTGGGACCAAAAGGTTACTGCTATATTGGGTATAAATTATGACTATCTTGCCAAAACCAAGATATATGTATGCTCATTTTATCCATAATGCAACAGAGAAGTCCTCTGACGAAACTAGAAAGGTAACAGTAACACCTGGTCCTCTGGTTCTTTTCCTACTTTTACTTTTATCTCACCTTGTCAGCAGCTGCCAGCAAATCATCAGCCATTTTGTCAAGATTTGGTGCCTTCCCCGTGTAAATGAAGCACATCATTTCCTTAAAAACTTCAGGCTCCACATCGTTAATTTCAACTCGATTCTGTATCAGAAAAACTGAGGATGAGAAACAGCCTGACAGAACAAAATTCTTAAACTATTTACTATTTTCCATGATCTTAAGTTCTGGTGAGGAGAGAAGCATGTATGATTTTAAAATCCAACATGAATAGAAAATGGATCCTCACTGTTCTGTTCCACTCCATCCCATTGTATTGTGTAGCAGCAACATATAAACAATCTCCCAACATACAATCAATCTTTGCTTTCTCAAATATAGCAGCAAAACAACTACATCTTTGATTTTTTTATTTCCTGAGTTTTCTGAGTAGAAACATGCCTAACATCTTTACTCCCAAACTGTTCGTGTGGTCTGCTGGGCATTAAGTGAGTTCACTTGACCTGGAATACTTCCAGACCACCTCTCTGCTCTCAGAAGGTATCTGTTCAGGGAATTGTACTCCATTTTAATAACACAGTAAGAAAAAGGTAATTAGGAAAATAAATCTGCAGAACTGGGAAATAATCTGACTCTAATCACCTGGTTAAGAAGACACATGTTCACCCTGTTACGTACCTTTTTACTTTCCTCCATTTCATGTTCAAACATGGCACTAAAAACAGGAGAACGAGCTACAAAGTGAGAGGGAAACAAACATATGAGGTTATCTCATGGAAAGTAGATGATCATCCCCAGTGATGACAAAGATCATTTTCCCTCTTGTTCCATTCTGAGGAAAGGTTCTCAGCCCCAAATCACACCAGAATTGTAAAATCTCTTCACATGTGTTTTCAAAACATTTCATTAGCTCTATTTTAATCATCTACATTTTAAGGAAATTATTCATCTATGCAGAATAAAATGGTATATACTTTGGTGTAGACTTTGAGGTTCAAAGGGAAATTACTCCATGATCTCAGCAGGGTGTTCTAATACCTGAACTTTTTTTTTTTTTTTTTGAGGCAGGGTCTCCTTGTAGCCCCAGCTGTCCTGGAACTCACTATGTAGACCAGGCTATCCTTCAACTCACAGAGATCCACCTGCCTCTGCCTCTGGAATGCTGGGATTAAAGGCATGCGCCACCACGCCCGGCTGAAATAATACCTGAAATAATACCAAAAATACCTGAACTTTTGGTGGGAACAATGGCACCTCTAGAGATCACATAGCAAGAAAGAGCTAGGCTTGATGGCATGCACTAGGCTGGATGATGTGCATTTATGGCAAGCTATCTTCTTCCAAGCTATACATTCTCAATGGAGAGGGTACCATCCCCCAAAGGTGGTAAAGCCTTAGACAGCATAATGATTTATGGTCCTTCAAAGCTCACTCTACCTGGTAAAACTGTCTTCTTTAGCACTAACTTCCATTCATTATGGAGAGTTTAGTTTTTCTCTTTAGGGATGGGAATGATGAAAACAGGTTAGGAAACAGTGCTCTAACCTATCTATACACATTCTATGAACACTCATAAACACCATGAAAAATAAGTAAACTTAATTCAACCATAAAATAATAAAATGACTAAAATCTCAGGATTTTCATGTTGTTGAATGAATCAGAGGTTGGGGGTCAAAGTCGAGAATACCAACCACTACCTAAGAGTGGAAGAACAGGTGGGTATGTGGGAAGGCGTTGCGCTAGTACAGAACTGGAGCTTTTGGCCTATAATGTCAGAAAGAACTAATTTTAGCTCTGTCATTTTCTAACCATTTCTTCCCAAATCATTTAATCCTCTGAACCTCAATATTTTAATCTGTATCAGAAGGACATTCTCACCATTCTTTTCTCAAAAGAGTTACACTCTTTAGCATGATATAGGCACTAAAGAATTGCTGCTTTAATAAAGACAGAGGGGTGCACAGCAGCAGGTAGGGCTTAGAAAGTCATCAATACATAGACCACAGCTGATGTGATGGGAATGGAATCCCCAGAGAGAATAGAGGGCAAACAGAACTGAAGCAGACCTTTAGGGCTGGCCAGTGTTTGAAGGGATTGGTGAAGAGGGAAGTTATACATTAGAGGTAGCTCTAAAGAGCAGGATCTGTAGCTCAGTGGCAGAGTGCTTGCAGAGCATGTGTGGGACCTTAGGTTCAATTTTCTGTACTATTGGGGGGAAGCACAAGAATCAGGAGAAAAGTGGTGAGAGGAGTCAAGTAGTATATGAACTACAGCCTCTCAAATTTAGGAACTAGCAGGTCATGCACATAACTTTGAAAAATTGCTTTCCTAGCATGGAGGTGAACTGAGGACAAGCAGGGGAAAGTAGACAGTGAATGTGTGCGTGCGTGCGTGCATGTGTGTGTGTAGGGAGGGAGGGAGGGAGAGAGGGGAAGGAGAGAAAGAGAGGAGAGAGGGTACAAACATACATAACTGGAAGAGTAAGGTTTCTGGGCAGGCAGGATGTGATTTAAACACAGCAGAAGCATAGAAAACAATCCACTGTGAACAGTGAGAATGAAGGCGAGAGGAGAGCAAGAGTCAAAAGTCCTCTGGGAAGAAAGGGTGGGCAAAGGCATCCATCCTCCTTTTTGGAGGAGGTTAGAGGGGAGTGACTGAAGTCTGAAATATCTATTGTTGAGAAAAGGAAAAGAAACTGACTATATCTAGAAAAACACTGGTGGAGTTGACGAGATGGTTCAGTGAATAAAGTGTTGGTGTGTAAGCACGAGGACCTATGTTTAGATTCCTAAAAGCCACTTAAAAGCCAGGTATGTATCTGTAACCCCAGCACTAGATGGGGGTATGGAGGGGATACAGGTGCATAACTGGAGCTCATGGGCTGGTCACTCCAGCCAAAATGGTAAGCTCCACGTCCTATCTGAAAAATAAAGTGGAGGCCGGGCATGGTGGCGCACGCCTTTAATCCTAGCACTCAGGAGGCAGAGGCAGGTGGATCTCTGTGAGTTCACAGCCAGCCTGGTCTACATAGTGAGTTCCAGGACAGCTGAGGCTACAGGGAGGCCCTATCTCAAAAAATAAAATAAAATAAATCAAAAATAAATAAATAAAATGGAAAGTGATGGAAGACACTCAACACCAACCTCTGACCTCCACATGCACATACACACACACACACATACACATGTGCATATACCTGTACACACAAATGTAAACACATGCAGCCACCATACACACACAAGCAAAAAGCAAACATTAAAGGGGAGAATGCTGGAGAGATGGTTCAGCAGTTAAGAGCACTTGCTGCTCTTGCAGAGGACCAGGTTTGGTTACTAGCACACACATGAGGTGCCTCATAATTGCCTTTAACTCCAGTTCTACGGGTCCAACATTCTCTTCTGACCTCCAAGGGCACCTGCACTTAGGCGATACATGTATATATACTCAGACAGACACAATAATAATAATAATAAATAATAATAATAATAATAATAATAATAATAAAAAGAAAAACACACTGGCAGTGTTGAGGGCATTGCGATATAGGCAGATACTAGCCTGAGTTACTGACTTCCTTCAGCATTAGCAATAATACCTAGTTGAGGCAGGGAATGGGAAATGTTACATGAGGCAGCTTGTGATCATCTAAGATGTGTACTTTAGAATGATGGAGCAGAGAAGTCTCAGCAGAAGAATTTTGTGAAGAGGTATGTCACTTGGAGAGTCATGTCATACATGCATAGTTCCTGTGGTCTGCAGAGCATGTGGCTATGGCTCCCCTTCTCTGTAAGATAAAGTCAGTCCTCTCTCAGGTCCTCCTTTGGATGAGTCTTTCTGGTCTAAAAGAGCAAGACCTATCCTCTGGGTCAGTAGCAATAGTCTCATTCTCCTAGTATAGTTATAGTGAGCAGAAGGCAAAACCCTCCAAAGCCTACCTATGTCTCAGTCTGATAGTACACAGTCTCTAGACCAGAATCCTCTCCATGACATCCAAAGCCCAACTAGGGGCGGTCACCTGCTCTTAAGTTCTCTGACAGTTATTCTCCAGTGCAAGGACATTTAATACTTTTGTATACCATCGTTTATACTTTGAAAATGGTTGCCTAAGTCTATTAGAGAGACAAACCAGAAATGGCATTTTTATGGAGAACAGTTTTCTTGGTTATGAAAATTAATGTCCTGAGGCTGGAGAGATGGCTCAGCAGTTAAGAACACTGGCTGTTCTTGCAGAAGACCCAGCTTCGAATCCTAGCACCCACATGGCAGCTAACAACTGTCTGTAACTCCAGTTCCAGGGGCTCTGACAGCCTCTTCTGTCCTCCGCGGGCATTGCACGACACAGGTACACTTACCTACATGCAGGCAATACATGCAGACATGTAAATAAAAATAGTATTTTTTAAAATTAATGTCTAGCCGGGTGTGGTGGTGCATGCCTGTAGTCCCAGCACTTGGGAGGCAAAGGCAGGTCATCATTTAGTGACACACATAGAATTATAAACAGTGCTGTTCACTTTCCACCATCTAATCACAACACCATAAGAAAATTAACAGGAGTGGGGTGGGTAAGAGTGAACAAATATCTCTCTTTAGATACAACATACTGGGGCTGGAGAGATGGCTCAGTGGTTAGTAAGAGCACTGGCTGCTCTTGTAGAGAACCAAGGTTTGGTTCCCAGCACACACATGGCAGCTAACAACCATCCGGTTCCAGGGGATCCAACACCTTCTCCTGACCTCCACAGGCATTGCATGACACAGGTACACTTACATACATCAATACACTCATACACATAAAATAAAAATAATAAATATTTTAAAAAAAGAATATAAAAATAGAGTTGGGTATGGTGGTGTATGCATATTATTCCATCACTTGCGAGGAGGCATGAGGACTGAAAGTTTGAGGACGGTTTGGGCTAACATAGCAACTTTAGGTCAGCCCAAATTACAGTGTGAGACTCTGTCTCAAATAACCAAAACAAAAACTAACCAAATAAAAAACGAAAATGAAATAAAAATAGGAGCAGAGTTCAAAAGCTGAAGTTGTTCCAAAGGTGATTATGCAGCCACTATTTTTCCTTGTTACACTAAAATCATAAAGTGAACCATGAATAAATACCAACCTGCTAAGATAGCCTTGTGAGCCTGGAATTCTTGGCCAGCTACACACAAGCAGCAGTCTGTGAACCGGGAATTCTCCCACAGCCCTCCTAACTCATCTGCCAGTCGGCACTCAGGAACCTTTACCATGTTCATGGTATTCTGGCCAGAAATATTGACGGAATCTTGTACCACACTCACCTGTAAATTATAATGAAACAGAACCACAGTGTTTGTTACCAGCAGGTAGAGAGAAGACTTTTGCTTCAGTGCTATAAAACACGCAGATAATTTTTTAAAAATTTATCTTATTTTCTGTATGAGTGTTTTGCCTGCATATATGTTGAGTGCACCCACGTGTGAAAGCTCACGGAGGCCAGAAGACAGTGGTGGATCCTGTAGAACTTGAGTTATGGGTAATGTTTGCCACCATGTAGGTTCTGGGAACTGAACCTGGGTCCTCTGCAAGAGCAGTCAAGTGCTCTTGACCACTAAGTCATCCTTCCAGGCCCTATATAACATATTTTCCTGAAACCAACTCCATAAATCAAGGCTTTCTCCTCTGGCTCAGTTACTTTTCAATTAATTTCCCATTTACTCACAACCATACTTTTTCTTTTCTGAGACAAGGTCTCCCTGTAGCCCCAGCTGGCCTGGAACTCACTATGTAGACCAGGCTACCCTCAATACTTTTTTATACCACCTTAGGACAATGATGATAGCCTTATAGAGTAACTTCTCCAGTTTCTAGTAAGTTCTACCCCCTAGCACTATAAACCCAACACAGCCACTAGGGGAAAGTGACAGGAACAAATGCTAAATCTCAAGTGTTCACTTTTTTTGCCTTAAACAAAAGGTTAAAGACGAAGAGTTTTTACAGTAATCACTACCTAAAACTCTCAAAAGAAAAGTAATCCTGGGACATGGCAGCATATGCTTTTAGTCTCAACACTTGGGGAGGCAGAGGCAGGTAGACCTCTGTGAGATCGAGGCCAGCCTGGTCTACATACTGAGTTCCAGGCTAGCTGGGGCTACAGGGGCACCGTCTCAAAAAGACCAAAAAAGAAAAGAGATCTAGTAACTTAAGCCCAAAAATATTTCACTTATTTTATTTAGGTCTGAAACACAAATAAAGTATAGCCTCTATAGGGCTTAGTAAGTAGCTGGTACTTTCTCAAAGATGTTTGCTTAATGAGCATATTACTGACCCACTACTTATAAAAACTGAGCTTGGAAGGCCTTCCCAGTTGTGATAACTGGATGAGTGTATGTAAGTTTTATACCTGTACTCAGTCATCTATGACAATGGTGTTCAAGATGCTGACTGCAGCTTACACAAGCACTTACAACTCTGGAACAGAATGACAAGGCCAGGCTTATAGAAGGCTCCATTTTTGCACCGTGGCTTCAGCAGCATGTTTCAACTAGTTGAATTAACTGTTCAATCTCGATAGAAACCGAGCTAAATTTCTAGATGGGTCAGTGAAATTCAGATGTCAGGATACCAATTATAAGGATTTAGAAATCACATTAACATGAAATAAATGTTAGTTACCAAACAAAACATAAGACCCACAAAGCAGTCACGTGCCCACCACTGCACTTCATCTCCTACAATACATTAGACCAGAAAAGTTAAATCCAAGCAGAACTTACAAGCCTTGAGAATTAACTCCCTACTCTTGCTATTGCTAAGAGTCAGATGAGAAAGACAGTTGAAGAATGGATGTTCTTCATCCGTTGACCTAGATTTCTTTTGACCTTCAAGATGCAAGTCATTCCTTAGCTGCAGTCATAAACCCAGAGGCAAAGTTAATGCTTGATCCAAATGACCTGTAATCCCTTCTGTGCAAGAGTAGGATATTTACTACCAGGTCAAGAAACTTATTCATTTGTTTAAAACTAGCTGTTACGGCCCTGCACAATGAGACAGCCAAATTAATCAATTATAAATGTGCTTAGTATTAGCAGCACGTTTATCAGAGAGAGGTTATAACATTATTTTAATAGCCCATGCTCCAGCACAAATCACCCCACAGAGATTCTCTTTTGTCCTTTCTAAGATTTCTAATTTGGTTCAGTCATTTTCTCATATTAACATCTGCATTTCTTTAATATTAAAACTAAAAGTGGAAGTTGTCTGTTCCCAGTTATAGTTCTAAATACTGATTTTTTAAAAAAAGGAAAAGGAAATGAACAATTAAATTCTACTTCCTCATAGGAAAAGGCAGGAATCTCCAGGGATAGCCAACAAAGGGAATGGAGAAAGATTTTGGCACTGTGTACCTAGCCTGAATTAAACCAGGCTGATAGGAGACCAAAATCATTAACACTTGATGGCAATTTGGTAGACTGGGTAAAATGAATTGGCAAAAGCTAAGCTGAATTTCACATGAACTATAATTAGCAGTGGACCTTCTTCTGGTTAGTTGCTTGCTTGGTAACAAGTGGGGCCCAAAGACTGTGACAGACCTCGGTGGGACAATTCTTCTCTCTGGACACAAACAGGAACACAGCAGGGAAGAGAATGTACCTTTACTGCCTGAGCCAGGCTTGTTCTGTAGATATATGGATGCCTGGAGTCTCCAGAGCTCTTAATGTCTGGCACCTCTTACCAACATTAAATATGTTTAATTAAAAATAAATTTTAAATGGCACTCACGAATGAGTCTTCTGAGCCCAAACTTTTAACTTAGAGAAGAATTGTTTTCCTCTGCAAATGATGTTGCTAAAATGAGACCATTTTGAGAAAACTAAAGATTTTTTTTTTATTGCCTATAAAATCAACTACAGAGACTCATTCAGAACTGCAGCTGTGAAGATGACGTGACTGTGACATTTATGTTGTCTTATAAATGAATGCATGAAAATGTCTCAGGAAGGCTGTCTAATCCCCAAAGTTACAAATTGTAAGAAAGCTTCACTTTTAAAGTCAATTTCTTTTTCTTTAAAAAGGAAAACTCATAACTAAAATTTTAAAAGGAAATTTCACGAAGGACCACAGACTGTGCCAAGTCTTGTATATTTCATCTACATATAAAGTAAAAATCCATTATAAATTGTTTTTAACATCTATGTGATTTTTGTGTCTTTTTTTCTTTTTGAGACAGGGTCTCCCTGTAGTCCTAGCTGTCCTGGAACTCACTATGTAGACCAGGGTGGCCTTGAACTCACAGAGATTCACCTGCCTCCGCCTCCTGAGTGCTAGGATTAAAGGTGTGTGCCACCATGGGCAGCCTTCTATGTGATTTTTGCAAAATATCAAGAAAATAAACAAGCATTATGCTAAATTGTTTATAGTAGCAACATTCTTACTCAAAGCAAAACACTAGCAACAACCTAAATGTCAATCAAAAAAAAGAATGAACAAATAAACTGTTCATTCATACAACAGACTATCCTACTGCACTAAAAAGAAACTACATACAAAATATAAATTTTAGAAGCATAATGTGAAGGGCTGGAGAGATGGCTCAGTGGTTAAGAACACTGACTGTTCTTGCAGAAGACCCAGGTTCAAATCCCAGCACCCACATGACAACTAACAACTGTCTGTAACTCCAGTTCCAGGGGCTCCGACAGCCTCTTCTGTCTGTGGGCATTGCATGACACATGTGCACTTACCTACACGCACGGTATACACACATACACATAAAATAAAAATCATAAAATATCTTACTAAAAAAAAAAAGAAACAATGTGAAAAAAAAAAAGTCTTAGATGACAACACACACAACCTATCTATCACTTTTCTTGTTTGTTTTTTGAGACAGGTCTTCCTGTAGCCCTGGCTGACCTGAAACTTGCTATGTAGACCAGGCTGGCCCCATCTCACAGAGATCTGCTTGCCTCTGCCTCCCAAGTGCTGGGATTAAAGGCATGTACCACCACAACTGGCTTATCACTTAAAAAAAAAAGTATTTTATGGGGCTAGAGATCTGACAGGCTCTTCTGTCCTCCAAGGGCACTCTCTCCAGCCCCTTGTTATCACTTTTATATAGCTTGAAACACCTAAATAATGTATCACTCAGGCATATATATATAATAAGGGAATAACATAAAATTTAAAATAACTTTCTCATTAGAGAGACAAATCTTAGGGAATAAAGGAGTAGCATGTACATACAAGTTATTTCCAAGTTATTGGTGAACTTATTTTCAGTGGTGTGTTTCCTACATCATCATGTGTATTAAATTAACATTTCTTTAGGTAAAGAACAATCAAATACTGGTTCTTCCCCTTAGTGTACCTAATGTATACAAAGAATTCATTAACAAAAAGATAAGGAAAAAATGGATATACTGGGTTGGAGAGATGGCTTAGCAGTTAAGAGCACTGGTGGTTCTTATAGAAAACCTGGGTTCGAATCCCAGCATTCACATGGCAGTTAACAATCATCTGTAATTCCAGTTTCAGGGGTGCTGACACCCTCTTTTTAAAAAAATTTTATTATTTTTTATTTTATGTGTATGTGTGCATTGCTTGCATGTAGGTTAAGTGCACCTGTGTCTCTCAATGCCTGAGGAGGTCAGAAGAGGCTATCAGATCCCCGGGACTGAAGTTATGGACAGTTAGCTGCCATGTGGATACTGGGATTCGAACCCGGGTCTTCTGCAAGAGCAACCAGTGTTCTTAACTGCTGAGCCATCTCTCCAGCCCCTGGTGACATCCTCTTTTGTCCTCCGCAAGCACTGCATGATATAGTTACCCTTACACACATGCAGGCATTACAGTCATAAATTTGGCAAAATACATATTCTCAGGCTACTGAAGGGATATTTTATGTCCGAGAATGGAAAGGATGTGTGTGTCTGTATTTTAAGATTTATTATTTATGTGGATGTGTGTGTGTCTGTACCTGAGCACAGGTACCTCAGGAGGTCAGAGAGGCTGTTGAAGCCCCTGAAGCTGCTGTGAAAGGTGGTTGGTTGTAAGCTAATCAACATGGGTGCTGGGAACTGAACTTGGGTCCTTTGGAAGAGCAGCAGAGCTGCTCTTAATAGCTGAGCCATCGTCTCATGGAAAGGATATTTTACAATTGGTATTTCATATATTGTTTCCTAGTTCATCTTTAACTACAACCTCATAAAGAGGCACTAAACTGCTCTACCAGCATAGGCAATGAAGGCGGAATCCATGCACCTACACTGTTTTCAATATAAGTAATCAGAAAGGGTTAATAGAGGCAGAAAATTTTCATGAAGGCTTTCTATGGGCCAAGTTATTAGGAGAAAATTAAAAGTATAATTTAAAAATGCTTTTATGTCTTTCCCTTTCATTACCAAAGCGAATATTCTCTGTCAAGAAAACTTGGGAGAGCCCTTGCTTTCTTGGGTGAATGGCATTCAGCTCCACTTAGTGTAGCACAGCAGACTAGAAATGGGAAACAGAGAGCTGATATGACCTTGACATTAATTTGCCACACAATGTTAGGAAAGATGACCTGACCTCCCAAGGCACTGCTTCTCCCTGTGCACATGAAATGAAGAAAATGGAGCTAACCTAGCTCAAAGGACTGTGATAAGGGATGATTCAGGATATGCACTGAAATGCTTCTTAATATGTTAAAGAAAATCAACTTGGAAGAATCACCATTTTTCCTAACAGAAATCACTGAGACCTGAAAGTGTACCCAGGGTGGCACATTATAAGCAGGACCACCCATTTGACACTTCCAATTTATGATCTAATGCCACTTAAACATTCAATAACAATAATGTTAGTGAAATAAAGGTTAAACACACAAATGTGTGATTCTGTCTCTCACTTTAGGATTCCCTCTTGTGGTCCCCGAGAGAACAAAAAAATTTTTTGAAACAACCATATGAGTACATCAGGATGGCCAAAAAGTATCTCTGGGCCACAGACTGAGGGAACAATAGACCATAGTGGGCACTCATAAATAATACATGAATATCACTTTTATAAAAACCTCTAAATAATAAGCAATAATAACTAAACTAATAGTAAATAAAATATAAACATGAACTTAAATAAACTTGTTTATAAATATTTTGCTGATATAGGGCAAACAACAGGTCAAAGGAATAGAACTTATAAAAAATTATCTAGCTTTGAACAGTGCTAAGAACTTAGATCAATTGCAGACATTTTTAAAACCCATACATCCAATACACACCCCCACGCAACTGTCTTGCAGTGCTGAATGCTACTAAGTCCACAGAGAGCCTTGGAACAGAAAACAAGTCTCACTAGGCACAAGCCCAAGTATGAGAAGCAACACTCAGCACCTGTGGCCAACTGAGAAGTGTGAGAGGAACAGATGGCACACCTGGTTCTATGGGAAGAAACTGATGGCATCAGCAGAACCCAGCAGACGCTTCCCTGTTCAACATCTCCTCGTTTCCAATGTGTCATCTCACTTCCCTTCTAAGTCAGTAAGGCAAATCTAAAGTTAACTACAGGATTTCTCCTAAGAGAATTTCATATGGGGAAGTGAAGAGAGAATGTTGGAACTCAGCCCCAGACCTAACCATAGGGTAAGACTTGCCAAGAGTGGGCAGGCCAACCAGTTTCCAAATCAAGGATGTCAACACAGGGATTGGCACAGAATGGGGGAAAGAAGGAAGCAAACGAGAAAAGGATGCCCCCACTGTGGACTTGAAAATACTACAATAAGGGCTAGAGCACTGCCTAAAATACCAGATGTAATATTTAAAGGAGAAACTTGAAAACTGGCTTTCGTTTCCAACAGATTAGGAATTTCCCATTATCTTAAAGTTTTTCTTTTTTAATTAAAAAAATATTTTATTATTTTTGTTTTTTTGTATATGAGTATATTGCCTGTATGCGTGTAAGGGCTCCAGTGTCCTGCAATGCCTACAGAGGTCAGAAGAGGGCATAAAGTCCCCTGAAATTGGAATTATAGACAGTTGTTACCTGCCATGTGGGTGCTGGGAACTGAATCCAGGTCCTCTGCAAGAACAGTCAGTGCTCTTAACTGCTAGGCCATATATCCAGTCCCTTAAAGTTTTTCTTGAAATATAAGTCTACAGTCTACTCAGGAGGCTGAGGCAGGAAGATAGTTGTGAGTCTGAGGTCAGCCTGGGCTACAGATGGACCCATCTCAAAACAAACAAACAAACAAAAAACAAAAACAAAAACAAAGAAAAAAGAAATGCAAGTCTCTAAGATGGGCAAATATGAAGATTGAAACTGATGTATTTATATAACACTTAACTTTAAATAAAATCATCCAATTCTCATTGTTTCACTCAGGCAACCAAGTATGATCTGTGACTATTAGGCTTACATGAAATTCAAATTTCAAATTCATCAAATATAAAACTGCCACATTTTACACATTTATAAAGATGTTGATACTCTAGTATTTCACTCTTTTAATTTACAACTAAAATGGAGAGGGAACAGCTATTACCCAAACTATGTTTTACTTATCTAGTGTAGTAGTTAATAAACAATGCCTGCAAAGTTTTCTAACCATTAGCAACTATTCTGTTAAACAAATATGACTGCTACTGCTGAACACTCCCCCCGCCCACCCCCAAATGGCAAGATTCCTAAGAGGCAGCCTCCTGGATTACATATGTGGTGCTATGCCTTTGGAACTATTGTTACCTTACAGTATAAGCCCATTATTTGACACAGCTAACTGATAGCTGGGATACTTGCCTGCACTCTACCTCATAATGGTACAATGAGTATTTTCATCAAGTGTTCTCCAACCATACAGGGACACTAAAACTCCATTTACTGGATAGAAGTTTTATTCACTTTGTATTGTTAGGTTGAGTTTGTATTTCTAAATGCATGGAAAACGGCATGAAATGACTCATTAGAATAGCCAGTATTTATTAGAGAAGAAGCTCTTTTCAATTGCGTCTTGGTCTAGGAATTTTACTTCCAAGCTTCTTCAAAGACTCTTAGGCTCCTGGTGAGGGAAACTGACCCTTCTAACTCAGATAACTCTGAGCTATATTTCTATAGTTTTCACCCTAGAAAAAGTGGCCCCCACTTTCCTATTTCATAATGATACCAGCAAGACAAACGACAGACACACAACTCCTGCAAGGAGCCATCTAGTCTAAAGAGCAAAAAAAGAAAGCAATCCACAGTCTAACACATCTGGACTTCTTACTCAAAAACAAGCCAGGTCTTGAAGAGAAAGACTCTAGACAGGCGGACTAAACCCTAGTCACCTTGCACCGAGGGACCTCTCAGGACACTAATTTTATATAACAGGCCTTAATACAAATGACAGAATGTATGAATGCCAGTGGGAGGGGCTATGGGAGAGTACCAAAGGGGAAGGGATGATTTTATGTATGAATTACACAAAAATTCAATTTAAAAAATTAGAAAAAAAAAAGAAGCCAGGAAGTTTAAGCAACACATACATAGATTTGGTTGCTGGTTACTCCTCAGCTGGAAGGGACAGCCCTTCCAAATATTATTTGAAAAAACTCTCAGTAAAAAATGTGAGGATTCTTATTCAAGCAACTCAAAACTGACAGAATCTTTGTTCATATGAACAGTAACAAGTGGAAAATTCAGATGCCCAATAACCTTGAAATCATAAGGCAGTTCAATCAGTCACATAAACAACACTTGTACAGAAACACTTCCTTGGGGATTTGTCTCATTCCACATCTTTGATACAATACAATTAAGTCTACCAATACCCACCAGATCTGGGAATTGCTGGTCTCAAAGCAGGGTAAGGGACTTACCTCACAGAAGAGGGTGAGTTTGTCATCAGGGAGAAGCCCATTGGCCTCGTCCAAGAGAAAATCTCTACGGATGAATTTTTTGAATCCCCAGTCTTTGCCTTGCACAAACCTATAAGCTCGTTGACTCTCTGGGATAAAAAACAGTCATATTTAGAGTTAATCAAAAAAATCAGATCAAATGTACAACTTATGAGTGTATGAAGTTGCTGGATGTGAAGGTAGAGAAAATATTTACCCATAGCTTTGGTTTCTTCTCCCTTGGCATTCAGAATGGAGAATTTGAATTTTGCCCGAACTTCACTCTTTGGACAGCTGACCAATAACAGGTAAAGTGACAGGTAGTCTTTGCTTTCTTCATCTAGCCCTTTGGGGTTTACTCGCAAACACCTGTCCAAAACAGAAAAAAATGCAGATCAAAAATACCAATAGAGGTCAGGGGTGGTGGTGCATGCCTTTGATCCCAGCAGTTGGGCGATAGAGGCAGGCATCTCTGTGAGTTCCAGGCCAGTATAGTCTACAGAGAGAGAGAGTTCCAAGCTAGCAAGGGCTATATAGTAAGACTCCGATTTTTCAAAAAACAAAAAATCAAAACAAAACAAAAATACCAATATAGGCTAGTGAAGTTAGAATATGGAACATCAGAAATCAAGACAGGAAGTATTCTTTGATTTTGTTTTTCATTTTTTTAAGTCCAAGTCCCTTACCAGGTGACTGATTCAGAATTAACTACTACTTGAAAACTACTTTTCTAGTCCAATCTGAGTTACCATTTATTTATTTATTTATTTATTTATTTATAAATATTTTATTTATTATTTTTATTTTATGTGTATAAATGTATTGCTTGCATGTATGTGTTAATATTTTATTATTTTTATCTTATGTGTATGAATGTGTTACCTGCATGTATGTGAGTGCACCTGTGTCGTGCAATGCCGCAGAAGAGGGCTTTGGATTTCCCTGGAACTGGAGTTAAGGACAGTTCATAGCCGCCATGTGGGTGCTGGAAATTGAACTCAAGTCCTCTGCAAGAGCAGTCAGTGTTCTTAACCCCTGAGCTATCTCTCCAGCCCCAATCTGGGTTACCCTTTAAATATTTATTTATACTTTATGTGTAACTGTTAATGCCTGCATGCATGTAAGCACACCCGTGTCGTACAGGGCCCCCAGAGGCCTGAAAAGGGCATAAGATCCCCTGGAACTGGAGTTATGGGTGGTTATTAGCCACCATGTAGGTGCTGGGAACTGAACCAGGTCCTCTGGAAGAGCACCCAGTACTCTTAACTGCAGAGTCATCTCTCCAGCCCCTGGGTCACCTTTTTAAAAGCAGCAAAAATAAAGGGGCATTCACATTCCTTATCTCTCTGCCATTTCCTTTATATTCTTCCAAATAATTCATCTTTCTTCACCTAAAATATTTTTTTTATGTTCTTCCCTCTCTTTGTGATAGTGGTGTTTCCTTGTAGTCCCAGATGGCCTAGAACTCACTATATAGACCAGAGTGGCCTTGATCTCACAGAGATTTGCCTGCCTCTGCAGCACTGGGACTAAAAGTGTGTGCAACTACACCTGGCTTCCTAAAATATCTTAAAAAGTTTTTCAGCCTAGTTTGTTTTTCAATCCTTAGTCTCAAAAAAGGTGGCCCTTGATTTTTCATGGAAAAATCATTTAAAAAGTCAAAGAGCCTTTTAATATCACCATGGGAGAGAAAACATAGAAATATGACCACAGTACATAATCTTTTATAGATTTTTGTCAATATATGTATGTATACACGCATTAAAAAAAAACAAAAACAAAAACACAGGGTCTTATTATATAGTGCTGGCAGGCCTGCAACTCAATATATAGACTAAGTTGGTCTTTAACTCACAGGGATTTGCCTGCCTCTGCCTCCCCAACGCTGAGATTAAAGGTGTGGACTAACAAAACAGGTTTATTAGATTACCCAGGCATGTTGGCTCACACCATTAATCCCAGCACTCTGGAGGCATAAACAGGCAGATCTCTATGAGATAGAGGCCAGCTTGGTCTATACAGCTGGGGCTACAGGGAGACTGTCTCAAAGAAACAAAACAAAATAATAAACAATTAAAAGTAATAGAGGAGGGGCTGGAGAGATGGCTCAGCAGTTAAGAACACTGGCTGTTCTTGTAGAAAACCTGGGTTTGAATCCCAGCACCCACATGGCAGCTAACAACTGTCCATAATTCCAGTCCCAGGGGATCCGACAGCCTCTTCTGTCCCCTGTGGGCATTGCACGACATGGGTGCACTCACCTACATGCAGGCAATACACACATACACATAATAAATAAAATATTTTTAAAAATAATAGAGGTATTGTGGAAGAAGCACAAAGTAAAACTCCTACGGATGAGTGTTCTAAGCTAGGCTTCTAAATAAGAGTTACAAATGCCAATCTGTTAAGCATGAATCAAAACCACATTCAGATTGAACTTAATAGGTTCAAATGAGTTAAGTTATAAATGTCATTAGCTTAACTGCATATGGTTCAGACACCACTCTACTACACAGAATGCACAAACCATATGTATCCTTGTACATACAGGTCTTGCCAGGATTACAGCACCTCTCTCAGACAGGTGGTCTAACCCAGAGCCTCTCTACAGAGTACAGATATATATGGCATATATCACTATACAATATGCCAGAGATGTGGATTTAAGTACAATGCCAAAGAACAAACATTTCTCAGGGTCTGGAGAGATGGCTCAGTGGTTAAGAGCACTGACTGCTCTTACAAGGGACCTGGGTTTGAGTCCCAGCACCCACATGGCAGCTAACAACCATCCAAACTCCAGTTTCAGGGGATCCAATGCCCTCTTCTGACCTCCCCGGGCAATGCAGTTACACACATGCATGCATAACACTCATATACATAAAATAAATAAAATAAAAATGTTAAAAAAGAACAAATATGTCTCTCTACATTTAGTAGTACACTGTTTAATATACACAAACAACAAATACTAAATGAATAAATTATTTCTTTAGTAAGCTATCAGAGCTCAAACTGATGGTTCAGAGATATGTTTCAATTTTTGATCTTTGCAGGAGACAGGTTCTATCCTTAACTACCTGCTTTTTCTTCAAGATGACACTGACCCTCACTCTTGGATCATATTTATCTTGCCACAGGCACTTGTTCAAGGAACCCAGACTTAACCCATTCAGTGCATGAATTATATACTTTTGGCTATACAGTCAATTCAGAGGAAGCTCAAAGACTTGTTGGCAGGTAGTGGATACACCCATAGTTACTTCAAGCACAGAGGAGCTACATACACAAGGTGTCTACTGTATTTGGATGTGGTGGTGTAGGCCTTTAATCTCAACACTTGGGAGACAGAGATAGAGCTCTGTGAGTTTCAGGCCAGCCAGGGCAACATAGTGAGACCTTGTCTTCAAGAAAAAAATGTCTAATAGCATGGAAAGTGGGTAGAGGAGAAACATGGGGTCTTCAACCTAATAATGGGCCTCCCAGATGAAACTCATCACCCTGCTAGCTATAAGGGCAAACAAATCTTTATTGCTTAAAGCAAGCTTTTTTTTTTTTTTTTTTCCTTTTGGTCTTTTTGAGACAGGGTCTCCCTGTAGCCCTAGCTGGCCTGGGTTTGCTATGTAGACCAGGCTGACCTTGAATTCACAAAGATCCACCTGCCTCTGCCTCCCAAGTTCAGGGATTAAAGATGTGTGCCACCACACCCGGCCAGCATTTCTTTTTTTAAAGACTGAGTTTTATGCAGCCCAGGTAGGCCTCAATGTCCTTATGCAGAAAGGATGTCCTTGAAGTCTTGATCCTGTGTTTACCTTCTGATTTCAGGTGCTGGGATTTCAGGTATCCACCACCATGCCCAGTTTATGAGTGCTAGGGACATAACCCAAGTCTTCATGCATGCTAGGCAAGCACTCTACCAACTGAGCTACATCCTAGTCTAAAAAGCAGGCAATTCAAAAGATTTTATGCTTAAAAACTTAATTTCTTGCTTTTCTTGAAAAACTAGAAAATCCAGTGATATTCATCTCTTTTCCACACATAGATACAGCTGGTTAGAGCTGAGTAACCACCAGTCCTTTTTATATGTAATACATGTATATATGTATACACACACATACTATAGTGCTAAGGATCAAACCTAGCACCTCGTACATGATGGAAAAGCATTCTGCCACTGAACTATATCCCCAGCCCTCTAACACTCTTTCAAAACTTTTTAAAAAAAAATCACACTTGGGCCAAGCACGGTGGCACACACCTTTAATCCCAGCACTCAGGAGGCAGAGGCCTCCTGTGCAATCAAGGCTAACCTGGACTACATAGTGAGTTCCAGGCCAGCTGTGGCTACAGGAGGACCCTGTCTCAAAACGAAAATAAATAAAAATCACACTTATTTTGTGTGTGCACACATCTGTATATGTGTATGGAGGTCAGAGGACACCATGCAGGAGTTGACTCTCTCCTTCCACCAGGTCCACAGTTGCTTGACAACTGGTATTGGTTCTAGTACCTGCCCTCTTTATTCTTTATATTACCCTCATAGATCAGGTTTGCTAAATTATGATAAACTCCCTGAATTATTTCAACAATCGTAATTGAGTATCTACCGTGTGTCAGGCCTTATTCTAGGCACTGGAGATACTATAAGAACAAAATTAAGTCCCTGCCTTCAGGAACTTGCATTCTGTAGTCACCCATTAAAACCAACAAGCAAAACAAGCAACTTAAAACTTTCACAGCTAGAGATATTCTTCCTCACCATTTCAGTTTATCATTGGCTCCTGATGAAAAAGTTGAACTTTTAATGACTTCACCCATTTCCTCCCGGCAAAAACTAAAGTTATTGATGGTCCACATGTAGGAGAATTTCACTACCTTGATCTGTTGACAGAAAACCAGAGAGTAATTAAATAGTAAGTGGGCAAAGTGGAAAAATAGGCTGAAGCATTTCCCCTCCCTCCCTCCATCTGCATGACCAACAGGAAGACAGTCTTCATTCACATTTTAAGAAATCTCACAGTGACCCAATGCTTTTACAACTTTTCAGCTTCTCAGAAACACTCGCTGGAGAGTGAGAAAAACACAAAGGAAGAAACAGTAACAATAAAACACTCGACAGAGTAAGGAGAGTTTAAAACTTCATGGGCTTAAATGAGCCCACGATTGAGTTGCCTGGGGCTATCAATCTCAAATAGGGCTCCCAGATTCAGAAATACCCCACTCAAGGAGGATGTAAAAGGATCTAGTCAAAGATTCCCACTTTCAACTGACATAGCAAAACATTGACCTTGGTGATTCAGATTGCATGTGGAAACCCAAGGAATGCAAGGCTAACAAGCACCTATATTCTGCTACTTGGCAGTTACATTCCAGAGAAACCAGGAAACCCAAACAGAAAAGCAAGTCTATTGTTCTTGTTCACCAAATCTTCCCAAGGAATATGATTTATGGTGTGAAAATATAGTTACCTGTGTGTAGCACCAGCTCTCAGCCACAGGACCACTCGACATTTCTGCCGGAGGTGGCGGACTTGGAACCCTTGACATCGCCAGTTTGAAGGTTAGACTAGATTTCCAAAGTCAGGCAGCAAAAATTTGTTTTTCTTCACCCTGGTCAGACCCAATAATCAAAAAAGATTCAATAGATTTTTGGCTTACTATCCTATTATTTGTTTGATCTTCTAAGAGTCTGAAAAATTCTGGCCTGTCTGAAATGCTCTATCTTGATTTAAACATTAACTTCAGAGAAAACCAGTTAGTCTCCCAGTCAAAATTGTATTACTGGCAGGACATGGTGATACACACCTTTAATCCCAGCACTCAGGAGGCAGAGGCAGGTGGATCTCTGTGAGACAGAAGCCAGTATGGTCTACATATCAAGTTCCAAGCCAGCCACAGCTACACAGTAAGACCCTGTCTCAAAAAAACAACCAAATAAACTTACACAAATGATATTATTAAAGTACATCTATGAAAAGGCTGTCTGAAGAAGAGATAGCATGGTTAACACTAGACACCAACTTGTTGCCAAAGACTTCTTCCCTTAGGGCACAAACACTCCACTCCTACTGGAAACGACCCTGTTTCCCTGGTCTCCTTCTATACTTCACAGCAAACACAAGAGCAGCCTTCATTTGGTTCTAACTCCTGTCCGCTGCTCTCTTGGAAGGCAACTTTTTTTTTTTTTTTTTTTTTTTTTTTTTTTTTTTTTGTCTTTTTGAGGCAGGGATTCCCTGTAGCCCCAGCTGGCCTGGAACTCACTATGTAGACCAGGCTGGCCTTGAACTCACAGAGACCCACCTGCCTCTGCCTCCCAAGTGCTGGGATTAAAGGCGTAAGCCACCACACCTGGCTTGGAAGGCAACATTTACACCTCTTAGATGTGTTTTTTTCTCTGTAGCATCAAGTCAAACTTCCACTTGACTTTCTAGATTTTTCTTCTCTCTGCTAATCATTCCTCAATCTCATTTACTGGATTTTCTTCTTGCACTGTTACTACCCATGGCTTAATACTCATCATTTTATCAATCTACATTCTCCTCATGGCAATCATAACCATCTCAACAGTATCAAATTTCTACCCTTGCACATTTCCAAGTCTCTCCCTCTTCCCTCATAAGCCTCAGAACATTAAAAACAAAAAAACAAAAAAACTGCTATACATCTCAATGGGATGACCCGCTAACAAACTGAATCAAATTCAAAATTCTTCTAAAAAAATTGAAGTCATGGCCAGTGAGCCCGTGAGATGACTCAGCAGGTAAAGGTGCTTACCACCAAGTCTGATGACCTGAGTTTGATCCTTGAAACTCACAGGGTAGAAGGAAAATATGAACTCCTACAAACTATCTTCTGACCACATGTACACTGTGAAGCATGCACACACACCCCAAAAAATATATAAATGTAATAAAAAATTAAAAAATATAAGTCAAAAGGTACGAAGTTGCGGACATATGGGATGAATATAGGAACCCTCACACGTCAGTGAGATAATAAATGAGGAAGTATATTGTGTATAGGAATTTGATCATCTCTATCTAGGAAAGTCAAAAGTACACATATAACAGGACTTAGAAATCTCACTTTAACAGTACACACATGCAGCAGGGGTTGCCAGGCTTGGAATGCATCAGAATCACCTCTTAAGACTGCTGGCCTCATCCCAGAACATGATTCAGAGGTCTGGGACAGGCATTTTTACTAAGATCCTGTATTTCTACCAAGATCCCAGGTGATCCTAATGTGCTAGTCCTGGAACCCCATCAAGAACCAGTGTACTAGAGAAACTCTGCACTTAGGCACAAGCAGACAGACAGGAGTGGTGAACACAACACAGTAATAATGAAAAGCTAGAAGCAAACTAAAAATCCTTTAGCAGGGAACAGGTAACTAACTGGATTATTTCTATATAATGAAAATCTGTTTTAGGATTTAAAATAATAAACTAGATCTGTAACACCATGGTCATCAAATACAATGCCAATGAAAAGAACAAACTATGAAATGATAAGTGCAGTATGTTATATATGCAAATTTAAGTACTAGTACAGATTCATGTAGAAGTAAAACAAGAATAACAAAACCCCAACAAATGTTATCAGTTTCATGGGAAAAAATGAGATTGGAAAAGAGTAAGACACTTCAACTTTATCTCTCATGAGTGTTTGAATGACAGGAGGCAAACAAGACAATGCAAACCTCAGTTGAGATGACAGGTACTTGAGAATATACTATCCTTTGTATTGTCTGGATTTAACAACAACATTGTAGTAACTGAGTAGATGTGTTCTACTGTATCACATGTTCTCTGCTTTATTTTTTGAATATTTTATTTATTATTATCATCATTTACTTATAAGGTCTTTTTGAGACAGGGGTTCCCTGTAGCCCCAGCTGGCCTGGAACTCACTAGATAGACCAGGCTGGCCTTGAACTCACAGAGATCCACTTGCCTCTACCTCCCGAGTGCTGGGATTAAAAGGCATGTGCCACCATACCCATTAGAATCCCATTTTTTTAAAAGATTTTCTTTAACTTTGTGTGTGTGTGTGTGTGTGTGTCCATTCTGTGTGTTCGTAGCCCCAGCTGGCCTGGAACTCACTAGATAGACCAGGCTGGCCTTGAACTCACAGAGATCCACTTGCCTCTACCTCCCGAGTGCTGGGATTAAAGGTAAGTGCCACAACGGACCAGGCATTTTATTATTTTGTGTGTGTGAGTACACCCGTGCCAGAAGAGCATGCTGGATCCCCTGCAACAGGAGTTATGGGCGGTTGTTAGCTGCCATGTGCTTGCTGGGTCCACTGCAAGAGCAGTTAAGTGTTCTTAACTGCAGAGCCATCTCTCTAGTCCCATATTCTCCACTTTATAATAGCCAAGGAAGAATTATATTTCCACATCTACATTTTAAACATTTAAGTTATTATTATTAAATCTCTATGTGTGTTTTTATGATATGTGTGTGGATGAATATATTCATTGTGCATGTGGAAGTCAGAAGACAACTTTGTAGAGTCAGTTCTCTCTTTCCTGTGGGTTTCAGAGATTGAACTCAGGTGTCAGGCTTACATGGCAAGCACTTTCCCTGCTGAGCTATGTCACCAAGCTTATAAGTGATCATGCTGTCCTTTTTGCCTGGCACATGTGGAGACCTGAGGTCAACATAGGTTGCCTTCTTCTTTTGCTCTCCACCTTATTTTTTTTTAATTATTTTATTATTTTTACTTTATGTGTATATTATTGCATGTATTGCCTGCATGTAGGTAAGTGCACCCATGTCATGCAATGCCCTCAGAGGACAGAAGAGGCTGTCGGATCCCCTGGAACTGGAGTTACAGACAGTTGTTAGCTGCCATGTGGGTGCTGGGATTCAAACCCGGGTCTTCTGAAAGAACAGCCAGTGTTCTTAACCGCTGAACCATCTCTCCAGCCCCCTCTCTACCTTATTTTTTGTGACAAGATCTCTCATTGAACCCAGAGCTTGCAGGTGGTTTAGCTAGGCTGGCTGCCCAGTAAACTCCAGGGACCCTTTTGTCTCTGCCTCCTAGGCACTACGATCACACACACTTGTCACCATGTCAGAATTTTTACAAGGGTGCTGAGGTCCTCATGCTTACACTTTACTGACTGAGCTATCTCCCAAATATTTTTGCAATCTACCTCAAATCCTTGGTAGACGATGGTACAAGCAACAAAATCATTCAATAGTAATTCAACTCACAAACATCCGCTAAGTAATAAGCATTGGCAGGATTACTAAGATATATTTGTACCTTTCTAGAGTAAAACTTTTTTTTTTTTTTTTGTCTTTTGAGACAGGGTGTCCCTATAGCCCAAGCTGTCCTGGAACTCATTATGTAGACTAGGCTGGGCTTGAACTCACAGAGATCTGCCTGCCTCTGCCTCCCAAGTGCTGGGACTACAGGCGTGTGCCACCACGCCCAGCAAGTAAAACTTTTTTTAATAAATGCAATTAAATGCTGTTCTATTGATCAAAAACACTATCCTGGAAGCATTTACAATTAAAGCATCACTTGTAATTACAGATGAAGTTAACAGTCTTACACACATGGTGTGCTATGTCACTTAAAACTTACAAACCACTGCACTCAGTGGTCCATGCAATTCATGATTCCATTACAACATCAAGAAACCAAGCCTCACAGACTTGTTTGTCTGGTAACATGTTAATATACCTTAGGCAGTTTTACAAATCCCAGCAATCATTACTGGCCAGAATGAAATTTCAAATTTCCTATTTTTAGGCAGCATGGCAATGAAGATGTGAATTTTACAAGTTAGAGCTTAAAATTTGGCTCTTACAGTGTGTGTTGGAGGCTCTGCTCCACATTAAATCATCATGGGAAAAAAAGTTTTTTAACCTTCAAATTCATCTAACAATGAACAATTTACAGGGTTGGGGACATACCTGAGTGGTAGGGTGCTTGCTTAGCATGCATGAAGCCCTAGGTTCAATACCCATCACTGCAAATTTCAAAGGGCATTATGTTAATTCCTTTTTCCCTCCCTATTGAATCTTGCTCCATTACAATCAGGAATAAATGAATACTGTTTTGTTGGAACTAGATAAATGTTTAAGCATCATGCAGCCTTAATCTAGCTGCATGATCCTTTTATTTGTGAATTTATTACAACAAAGTGATTTTTTTTTTTTTTTTTTTTGGTTTTTTTGAAACAGGGTCTTCCTGTAGCCCCAGCTGTCCTGGAACTCACTATGTAGACCAGGGTGGCCTTGAACTCACAGAGATCCACCTGCCTCTGCCTCCCAAGTGCTGGGATTAAAGGCATGCGCCATCACGCCTGGCCAAACTGATTTTTATTTTAAAGAAATATTATTTAAAGACCCGGGTTCATATCCCAGCACCCACATGGCAGCTAACAACTGTCCATAACTCCAGTTCCAAGGGATCCGACAGCCTCTTCTGTCATCCGCGGGTATTGCACGACACAGGTGTGCTTACCTACATGCAAGGCATTAACATTCATACACATAAAATAAAAATAAAAAAATAAATTTAAAAAAAAGTAATGCCATTTACTGTCTAATTTTTTTAAATGTCCAACCCAGCAGCTAGAACTGGAGACTCAATTCCAGGCTCTGAGGAGCTCTAACCACACATCCTGCTGGGAGGGAAATTGACTGGGATGGCACAAGTCTAATTAATTTCACTCATAGTGGGCACCATGGGCAAAGTATTCATCAGCAAGATAGCCTAGTGCTGCATGAACTCTCTGGCACCTCATGCCAACTGCTGCAGATACTCAGCAGAAGCACAATTTTAGAAAAGAAGAGATCTATTTGAGGGTCACAGTTTGAGAATATTTCCAGGAGACAACTAGAGTCAAAATACATGTTCATAGCTTCAAACAAGTTAAGACATGACTGACCAAGTTCTCTAATGAGAAATTTATTTTCCAAAGCTTACCAAAATTTCTAGTAGCTCTATTAAATCCTGACCTATGAGGAAAGATCTCCCTGAGTCATATAAAAAATATACTTAAGGGGCTGGAAAGATGGCTTAGCAGTTAAAAGCACTGGCTATTCTTTCAGAGGACCGTTTCAGTTCCCAGCACCTACGTGGCAGCCAACAACCATCCGTAACTTCAATTCCAGGGGATCCAACACTCTCTTCTGACCTCCATTGCATGACATAGGTGCACTTACATATATGCAGGCAATATACTAATATACATAAAAAAATTTAAAATGTATTATATATTATATATATTATATTAATATATATATAATACACACACACACATTCAGAGCTGGATGTTGTGGTGCACTCCTTTCATTCCAGCACTCTGGAGGCAGAGGCAGGTGGATCTCTGTGAGATGGAGGCCAACCTGGTCTACCTAGTGAGTTCCAGGCCCGCTGTGGTTATAGGGACACCCTGTTTCTAAAGTGACCAATATAAGGCCAATAAATACATATACACACATGTCAGCATATCCCTGTCAACTATAATACCGAAGGTAGTATTACTAGGTAAAGACAAAAACAAAACAAAATAAAACAAAAAATAACCAATGGCCATCTCTGATGGGATGCTTCCTAGCAGCACTATAAGATCATGAAGTCACTAACCATTTTTTGATAGAGGAATTAAGTTAATAAATATGATTTCTAACTAGAAGGTCAAACCGTGAAGAGTAGATATAAGTAAAAAAGAAAATGTATCAATGCTGTTTTGATACAAAAAAGATGCTTTTTATTCAGTCTATACAGTTCCCTTTTCAGCTGAATATATATTTCTTTCCTGTATAAACACTTCTGATGCCTCCAGTAAAATTTAAAGCTACTTAAACAGAATTTTTAATCTGTTCCTTTTATCTATCCCCTTACCACCTAACACAGACTGCCTAGAAACTAAGGTATTCATTCAGTAAAAACATTTTGATGAGACTGGAAACACGTCTCAGCAGAGAAGAGGATTGTCTGTTCTTGCAGAGGAACCAGGTTCAGTTCTTGGCACCCACAGGAAGGCTAACACCATTTGTAACTCCAGTTCCAAGGGGATCCGATGCCATCTTCTGGCCTCCGCAGGCATTGCACACATGGGTGCACTCATAAACATGCAGGCAAAACACTCATATACATAAAATAAATACTTAGATGACCCAAACACTTACCTAACTGCATTCAAGTTAATTAACTTTTCTGACTGGGAAGCAGTTAAGAGCACTGGCTGCTCTTGCAGAGGACCTGGGTTCAATTTCCAGGAACCACATGGTGACTAACAACTGTCCACAACTCCAGTTCCAGGGGATCGGCCACCTTCTTCTGACCGCTGTTGTTCCTTTTTGACATGCCTCTAAAATAGCCTTTCAAACAATGCTGAGATTTGCAATGTAATGTAATGTGGGGGTTTTTTTTGATAAATGACATAGGTCCAAATAAATTCCTAGCCTAGAACATCAAATCCCAGTATAGTAAAAATGAGATTTCTGGTTGGGCATAGTAGTAAATGTTTATTCTCAAGCACTCAGGAGGCTGGAGGATCTATGTGAGGTTTGAGGCCAGCCTGGTCTATATGTCAAGCTCCAGGCTAGCCTGTGCCCTATCTCCCCCACCATCCCCCCAAAAGTTTTAAAGCCAGTATTAAGTATACCTTTATTCTACAAAGGAAGAAAGATTGGTTATAATTTCATTTGGAATTACAACTTCATTTTGGAAACACACATCATTTTGAGCTAATTAATTGGGGATAGCCCATAATTAATTTGGTCTAACATCTTAAATAATCAGAATTCTTTCAAGACAAATATAGGCAGATTCCTTTTACAGTAAAGGGAAAGGCCCCAGTAGTTTACCTACGGATTATACTGAGCTAGGCTAGAAAATCTCTGAGAAGTCTAAAGTACAACAGCTTCTGCAGTTATTGTTTAATATTTCATGAGCATTCCTTCATCAATCTAATTTACTTACCCAGAGAATTTTAAAAAATCAATTAGCATAAAGATGTATATCTCAGTCATGCTGAGTTAGCTTTATACCCACAAGTTTTAAAACGATAGGAGTAAGATTGTTAAGATATTAAATTCAACCATGAAACTTGTTTCATATGCCCAAAATAGGTGTGTACTGGCAATTCCAGGTGGTACAACATGATACATAGCATGAATGAATAAGGAATGTAGCGTGAGCTAGGAACAGAGCTTTCTGGCAGAAAACAGGAACTTTAAAAAGCCTACTTCCCCCTCTCTTTCTCTTCATATTAAAGCCTTGTACAGTTTCTAAGTAAAGAAAACCCCCATGTCCTATTTTAAATCTGAGAGACGTATGCCAAAGATGCAAAATATTGATTTAAAAATCAAAACAAAAAACTGTATAAAAGACTTGGGTATACTCATTTTCAAGAAACTAATGTGATCTAAAAGGAGTTTGTTTCTTCTGTTAGATAGTACTCAGTCATATACAGCTTAGGGGGTAATGATATCTTTTTCTCATCACCCAAAGCACAGTTATTACAGGTCATACTGACATCTTTTGTTGCAAGGTTTGAATAAGTTTGAATATTTGGTATAAGTAAACCTTTTGTAGTTCAGTCTAATCCAATGGAATATTAAATACACAGAGCTTTGTACTTTTTTTGTGGTTTGTTGTTTTTTTAACTTAGAGACACTTCTTAAAATGAAACTAAGGACAACAAAGAGTGATCTCAATCAGAAAAAAGGAAAGGGAAAGGTTGGGGTTTCTTGTATGTTATCTGGTTCATGATCATGTGGATGGATACAGAGAGCAAGAGCGAGAGTGAGAGAGATCTATGAAAAGCAGGGACTGGAGAGATGGCTCAGCAGTTAAGGGTACTGGCTGCTCTTGCAGAGGAGCTGGGTTCAATTCCCAGCACCCACATGGTGGCTAACTGTCCATAACACCAGTTCTAGGGTATCAGATGCCCTCTTCTGACCTCTGTGGGCATTGCATGACATGGGTACACTTACATATATGCAAGTAATACACTCATACAACACTTACATATATGCAAGTAATACACTCATACACATAAAATAAAAATAATACAAAAAAAAATTTTAAAGGTATGGTGGCACTTGCCTTTAATCCCAGCACTTGGGAGGCAGAGGCCGGTGGATCTCTGTGAGATCGAGGCCAGGCCAGCCTGGGCAACACAGCGATTTCCAGGCCTGCTGTGGCTGGTTACAGGGAGACCCTGTCTCAAAAAGACCGGAAAAAAAAAAAAAAAAGCTACACAAGATCCTGAGGGCACTGGTTACTCCCATGGAAGGAAACTGGACCCAGGTATGGTTCCCAGCATCCACATGGTGGCTAACACCCATCTTTTAACTCCAGTTCCAGGGGATCTGATGTCCTCCTGTAGTCTCCTAGGGGCTCTGCACCTCCATATTACATGCACTTGGTACACTTATACACATGCTGGCAAAACACTAATACACATAAAATAAAAATAATTTTAAAAATTTAAAACCTTATGAACAGCTGGTCAGATGGCTCAGCAGGTAAAGGTGCTTGCCTTGTAAGCCTGATGACCTGGGTTCAATCTCTGGAAGTCATGTAAAAGCAAAAGGAAAAGGTCGATTTCACAAAGTTGTCCTCTAACTTTAACATATAGAGTGTGTCTGCACACATAAACACATGCAGGCACACACCATATATACACAGACTCAATAATAAAATTTAAATCCATAGGAAAGACAAGACACAAATTTTTCAGCGGCTTCTACCACTCTGGGTAAAATCAGCCTTCTTGTCCTGACCACCGTGACGGTGACGCTCAGCATACCTCTCCACCTCATGGTAATATGCCTTTAAGTTTGTTGGCACAAATCACTTTTGAGCACACAGATGCTCTCCTTAGCCCAGAAAGCTCTTTTTCTTGAACTTTGGTTTGTTTGTTTACTTGTTTGTTTTTTTACAGGACAGTGGGAAGAGCTGAGAAGGGATCTCACTCTATAACCCATGCTGGCCTGGAACTCACTATGTAGCCCAGCCCGCCTTCAATTCTCAGTGATCCTGCTCTAGCCTCCCAAGTGCAGGGATTACAAGTATGAACCAGGCCACCTGCTCCCTCAGGTTTTCATAACTGGCTCATTCCTGTCATTTAGGTATCCTCAGAGATATCCCCAACCACCCAATCTGAGGCACTCCTTACTTCTAAGCCTGTTTCTTTCACCTTATTACCCTCTTTTTTTCTTTATCACCACTAACTGAAATTATCTTGCTTCTGTTTCATACCCATCTATTCAGTCTTCCCCAAAAGAATTTGTTCCGTGAGAGAACAGCATCTTCCTGTGCCACCAATGGTAACAGAACATGCACTCAATAAATATTTGTTCTATGAACCTGTTGTTGAATAACTAGACTCCTCTTTGTGATACATTTTTTCCCTAGTGAGTTCTAGTTAATAAGTTCAACTTCATGAACTAGTGAATAAATTTAGATATGGGAACTCTGTATACCTTTTTTCATGTGTATGTGGTATGCATGCATGTATGTGTGTTTACATGTGTAAGTGCATGTGTGTGCGCTTACATGCCTGTGTGCATGCGTGTAGGCCCAAAATCAATATTGGGCCTCTCTTCAACCACTGTCCATTTTATTAAGGCAAGGTCTCTCACTGAATCCAGACTCTTGCAAATTCTGGAGTCTAACTAGTCAGCTTGCCCTGAATCCTCTTCTAAGTCTCCTGAGTACAGGGATTACAAGTGGTCACAACCTGTCCAGCTTTTACATAGGTTCTGGGGACACAAACCCTGGTCCTCACACTTGCATGGCAAGCACTCTACCTCCCCAGCCCCTTAGGCATACTTTCATAACAATAAAAGTTAAAAAGTATCATTCATTTCATTCATAAAAGATTTGTTAAATATATGTTAAAGCTATACTCTGGTTAATTTTTTTTTTTTTAATCCCAAAGAACAGGAGAAAAGGGAAAACTGCAAGGATACAAGGAATTCCTGAGTCTACAAGATGATACAGAGACCATTTCCTAGAAAAAGTCTTATAGAAAAGTACCATTACAGCAGCTACCAGAGAATCAGTCTAAACCTCTAAGCTATTTTAAATTAAATTCTCTATAATAAAATTCCAATATATTGATCAAATTGAGGCAGATGGTTAGCATTTACTTAGATTTGAACTATAATTTTCCTATCTGACATTGATTTCCTTAAAGCTGACACATGAAAACAAAGATACTTTAACATGTGCAAACACATATAATGATAGAGATATCTATGTATCTAGGCATTTAACTAAGTTTTCCTAGACCAAGCTAAGATGTAGATTTTCTAATTAATGGTCAAAGCCACACATGGTGGTGTGCAACTATAGTCTAAGTTCCTTGTGAGGCAGAGGCAGGAGGACCAGTTGAGGCCAGGAGTTCAAGGCCAGCCTGGACAAGGTAGTGAGACTCTCATCTCAAAGAGTTAAACTGGTTTTCAAACTATTATATATAAATAAACCTCTGAAGCAAAGATGGAATCTAGTGTACAAGGCAATAACTTTAAGATTTTCCTAGTTTATAGGTATTTCTTAGGCAAGCATAGATTCTGAGCTGCTTGTGAGAATTAGAAAGGTGTTTGTACCTAACAGGCTATTTTTCCTTTTTCTCCAAGTACTATAGACTAGAATTTTACAGAAATAGACTGGCTGATAAAGTTCATGCATACAAAGTTAAGCTGGCAATGAACAAGAAGGCACATGAAAGACTGTCAAGTCCCAGAAAGTAGTAGGTTAACAGCAGAATGCTCTGTCCCAATGACTCCCAAACTTCAATGTATGCTGGGAGTTTACAGCCTTACTGCTCTTCTTAGACATTATAAATAACTACAAACTGTCCTTGTCTCTAAGGAGAACTAGTAGCCAGCTCGAAGGTTAAAATATGGAATAATTTTCATTTTGAATACAACTCTTCCAGATAGCAAAGAAATAAAAAAGCAGCAAAGTTTATTGCCAATTTAAGAGTTTGAAAATGATTTCGTTCCCCTAAAATCTATCCTCCATTTACAAGTTGTTGATGTAAACATACCTGCATAATTCTCTATCCAAAAATAGGACCAGGTAGAAAATGCGTCTCTGTTCCAAACACAGAAGTTCATCCTGCAAAGGAGATGCTGTTCAACTGCCTTGTAAGACTGCAACTCCACATATGTTGGAAAGACTTTTGGAGGTTTGTCCTGCTACTTAAGTATAAATAGCTATACAACAAAATACATGCACATAACGGCATACGAGGAAAAAAATTCTGTCTTCACTTGAATGGGGATCCAGCAGAATACACCAGGGTCACAATAAGCACAGGTTTTACAAGGTCTGGGTTAATACTATCAGGTGATATGGTGCTGTTGTTAATTACAGAACCCCTGCTTCGAAGAAAAACTCCACTAGCTGCTTCAAAAAGTAGCAGATAGGGCTCATCAGAATAAGCTTCACCACACATCACTTTCAAATCTATCACTTGGGAAATGTCTAAAATGGAATGACATGAATTCAAATCAAGAAACAAACCTGCTTATAAAGCAGTTGTTCACTTCAAAGTGGGTCTCAGTTCCAAAAGAAACCAATCTTTAGAAATGTAGAACAGTAAATCAAACAATCAGCAATGATTCGATTCTCACAAATTAAGAGTCAAGTGTTGCCTCCACTGAACGGCTTGAATAAATTCTCCAGAGCCACACCTGGGAAAGGTGAAGATTTTAACATCTCCCACATGTCAAAGATTTTTCCAATAGGTAGAGAAAATGTAATTATTCTAAACAAAAGCTAGGAAAGAATCAAAAGAATGATTTTTTTTAAAAAAGAGAGAGACAGCCAGGGCTATAGGGAGACCCTGTCTCAAAAAGACCAAAAAAAAAAAAAGAGAGAGAGAGAGAGAAAGAGTAGGAAGGGAAGAAAACTCTATGGGTAAGTAGACTAAAGTTAGTTAATACTCCCAAAGCTCAAAACAAATAGAATGAAAATAAAAACATAGATTTTTAGAGGCTGGGCATGGTGGCGCTCGCCTTTAATCCCAGCACGCAGGAGGCAGAGGCAGGTGGATATCTGTGAGTTCAAGGCTAGCCTGGTCTCCATAGCGAATCCAGGCCAGCTAGGGCTACAGGGAAACCCTGTCTCAAAAAGACCAAAAAAACAAAAACAAACCAAAAAAACACATAGATTTTTAGTTTTTACGGTCATGGTTGAAGGGAGAGCGTAAAGATCTTTTAAGATTTATTTTGACTGCGTGCATGTAAGTGCACCCGTGTGTGTGCAGAGGCCAGAAAAGGGCATCAGATCCCCAGGAACTGGAGTTACAGATGGTTGTTAGCCACCATGTGGTTACTGGAAACCAAAGTCAGGTCTTCTGCAAGAGCAGCCAGTGCTCTTAACCAATGAACCATCTCTCGAGCTCACACCCCCTTCCCACTTTTTTGTTCATGCAAGCTCTCACTACATAGCACTGGCTGGGCTGGAACTAGCAATGTATACCAGGCTGGCCTCAAACTCACAGAGAGCTGCCTTCCCCTGACTCCTGAGTGCTGGGATTGAAGGCAGGTACCACCATACCCAGCAGGAGTTTTGATTTTGTTTTTTTTTTTTTCATATATGTATATATTTGGGGGGGACTCCTACATAATCACCATGCATGTGAAGAAACAGAGGACAATTTAAGGGAGTCAGTTCTTTCCTACTGTATGGGTCCTAAGGATCAAACTCAGGTCATGAGGCTTGGGGACAAATGCCTTTATCCACTGAGCTATCAGGCCTACCCAAAACTTTATACAATCTAAATAGTAAACAGATGGAAATGTTGGTTCTAATACTACTTAAGCTTGTCCAGCCTGCAAGGAATTAAGAAACTGAAGTCATTTCATGAAACAAATAGAGCTTGTATAACTCCACAGAATCCTCTGGTCTTCTAGAAGCCAAATTTAACAGGTGGTTTTCTTTGGTCATTAATAGTTTAGTCAGACTATTTAAAAATATTTCTTGCTGACCAGGCACATTGGCCTATGCCTTTAATCCCAGCACTCAGGAGACTGTGGCAGATAGATCTCTATGAGATCGAGGTCAGTCTGGTAGAGTGCTTTCCTGGCATACAAGAAGTCCTGGTTAGATCTCCAGCACCACAAAAACTGAGCATGATAGTACATGCCGCCTCTAGCCCCAGCACTTGGGAAGTGGAAGAGAATCAAAAGGTCATCTTCACACAGCTTAAACCCAGTTCCCAGTCTGGGATATGAGACACTGTCCTGGGAGAGAGAGGAAGGTAGAGACAGGAGAGAAGAGAGAAAGGAAGAGAGGAAGGGAAAAGACAGAAAGGAAAGAGGGAGAAGGATAGGGAAAGGGGGAGAGAGGAACAGAAGGAGAGATGTGGCTCAGTGGGTAAAGTCCCAGGGACCTGAGTTGGAATCTCCAGCATCCAAGTAACCCAAGTAAAAGGCTGGGCATGGTGGTAAACTCTTGTAATCCCAGTCCTGGGAAATGGAGATGGGGGTCCTGGGGCCTCATTGGGCAGCCAATCTAGCCAACCAGTGAACTATGTTAATGTTAAGGACCTAAGTAAACTAAATAGAAAAAAGGAAGAGCAGAAGTTCTCAGTCTCAAGTATACATTCCAAATTCCTGAGTGAAGGAGAAAGTAAAACAACACAGGCTGAGAAAACGGGAAAGTTAGACAGAATGTCTATCTTAACAGAGTGTCCTTAGCTCCTGATAACCTGTCATAAGTTAAAAGTTCAAAATGCAGTAACATCCATTTTACCCAATAAGACTGCAAAAATATACACAGAGATCTGAGACAAAACTCTCACAAAGCACAAGGTAAAAATTTTAAGATGGTGGCCAATTTTTTTTTTTTTTTTTTTTTTTTGAGACAGGGTCTCCCTGTAGCCCCAGCTGTCCTGAACTCACTGTGTAGACCAGGCTGGCCTTGAACTCACAGAGATCTGCCTGCCTCTGCCTTCTGAGTGCTGGGATTAAAGGCGTGAGCCACACACCATGCCCGAAGATTTTATTTTAAAGTTACATATAAAGAGCTGAGTTCTAAGGTACAACACACAAAGGCAAAATGCTCAAAATCAAACTCCTTTTACAGAGTAAAAAAAGCCTACGCATTGCTTACGGTATTCCATTTTATAAACTGTAATCCCAACCCTTGAAGAGCTCTTGGGAGAAAAATAATCTTATTCTAAGGTTTCCATACCAAGTATTATCAAGCCTGATTACAACTTTAAATCCAACCTGGAGTAGTGGTATATGCCTATAATCCTAACACTCAAGAGGGCTGAGGCAGGAGGATCATGAGTTCCAGCCAGGCTTGTGTTACATAGTGTGACAAGGTCTCAAAAACCGAACAAAATAAAATTAAATACAAACATGTTTGCTCCCCTCCACCTTTTCCTAGTATATAGTAGTTATCAGAAAACACTGAATAAACAGTTTTTGTTTAGTTCAGCAGGTATATTTAGAATAAAACCTTTACTGAAGTCACTTAGAAAAATGTTTCTTTGGAGCCTGGTATGGTGGTACACGCCTTTAATCCCAGCACTCGAGGCAGAGGCAGGGCTCTATATGAGTTCAAGGCCAGCCTGGTCTAAGCAGTGAGTTCCAGGCCAGCTGAGGCTACAGGGAGACCCTGTCTCAGACAAAAAAAAAAAAAGTTTCTTTGGGTTGGGCTGAGGAGATGGCTCAGTTAAGTGCTTGCCTTGTAAGAACAAGGTCCTGAGTTCAATCCCTAGTATCCATATATAAAAAGCCAGGCTGCACGGTGGTACTCACTTGTAATCCCAGAACTGCTGAGAGGCAGAGACAAGAGGATCCCTGGGGCTCTCAGGAGACCCTGTCTCAAAGGAGGTGGACACTGTTTCTGAGGATGACACCCAAGGTTGTCCTCTGGCCTCCACACCCACATTAAAAAAAAAAAAAATCCTGAAACTTACATGCTTGCCTTACGACTTCAATCTAACCTCCTACTTGCACTTAACGAAGCAATAGAGTGTAGTCAAGATGAACATCTTTAGTCAGGTAAGCATTTCTTTCCATCTTATTCTGCTTTATTTCTCTTGATCAAACTACATTTAAAATAAAACTACACAGCCAGGCGTGGTAGCGTACGCCTTTGATCCCGAAACTCTGGAGGCAGAGGCAGGTGGATCTCTGGTCTACATAGTGAGTTCCAAACCAGCTGGAAGACCCTGTCTCAAAAAACACTAAATAAATAAATTAAATAAATAAATAAATAAACAAACCTACAAAGAACTCACCAAGTCAGTAGGAAAACTCTAATTTGTCTTGTCTAGCAGGAAGTCTCTGTTGGAAATAGAGATGAATTAACTGGGTTCTGAATCTCATACAAGTCTTTGGCTGATCTTAAAAGAGAAAAGCTCACAAAAATCAGGTGATATATCTGCTTGAAATGACTGATAAAATGCATTTACTAGGCAAAATTACCATTCTAATATCTTATTTCTAGCTCTGAGTGATGACCTTTTAGTCATCTCTCAAAAAAAGATTTTACTTACAAACGAAAGTCAGAAAAATCTGAGCTAGTTCTAATGATCTTGCTTATGAGTAGAGCAAAGATGAAATAAATCACTTGCCCTAAATCACTTATATGAGTGATCATTTTTTGCCAGCTCCCTAACAAAATGTTGAATGAATTACTACTACAAAGTGTTCTTGTAGACTAGCCCTTTAAAAAAGATGCTGTGTGGCTAAATTGCACAAAGCAAGACACTTTTAAACAAAGGTATTTATCCTATGATTGCCACAACAGAAGCAGGAATAAGTGGCTGGATTTCTAGAAACAGACCTAGGCAAGGATAGGTAGAACTGATGCTTTTTCCTTTTTGTGGAGAAATGAAGCACTGTGTAAATCAATGGTTAGCCTTTGAAATCTCTTGAAAATGTGAACACAAACTTCAATAGACTGACTGAAATCACTTTCTCTTAGATTATAACAGATGGTGGTAAACCAACTATGGTTACTAGTAGGAACAGAATTAGCCACCACCCTAAACTACTGGTGCTAAAACAGGGCAGCCTTCATCAGATAGCATAAAATAAAACCTACAAAAATTCTACACAGTTCTGTCAAGAGAGCAGCAGTCAGGTCAAATCCATTCAGCAAATAGTTGGTGAGCACCTATAGAGGTCCACCTGCCTCTGCCTCCCCAGTGTGCACCACCACGCCTGGCAGGTCAATGATATTTAACTACAGATCTATATAACAAAATGGATGTGAAAGTTACATAGTTTTAGGTTCTGAAAGAAATCAGAAGAAAACTACAAACTACCCAGGCATGGTGGTACATACCTTTGATCCCAGAGCTCAGGAAGCAGAGGTAGGCAGATCTCTGTGAGTTTAAGTCCAGCCTAGTCTACACAGGAAGTTCCAGGACAATTAGGGCTATACAGTGAGACCCTGTCTCAAAAAACAAAATGAAAAATCCACACACTGTGTTATTCCATCCACACAAAACTTAAAAATAGACAAAAGCAAACCACACTGGTGAGGACTCAAAGAGAGGCAAGCAATTATCACAGTGTCAGAATCTGGCTATCTCTAAATAACAGTACGGATTAGGAGGTAGCTGGACACAGAATGTTTCCTCTAGGTGCTGGCAACAATGCATTTTTAGGCATCTAACTGATGATTATATAGATATTTGCTTTTTAATCAATCTTTAAACTATAAGCTATGTTTTATTATTCTACATCATGTTTCCTAAAAAATGTTTGAAACATACATTGTTAAAATAACACTGGAGTAGACAGATATCTAGCTACTATCCAGAAGGTCTTACACACACACCCCTTTGATTTTTCTTTTCTGAGTTTAGGACTGGAAACTTGGTAATAAAGCAGGGCTATACAGGAATTACCAAGGGTTATACACTTACAGACAGAATGTCCTGTCATACTTCCTTTTTTTTTTGGTCTTTTTGAGACAGGGTCTCCCTGTAGCCCCAGCTGTCCTGGAACTCACTATGCAGACCAGGCTGGCCTTGAACTCACAGAGATCCACCTGCCTCTGCCTCCCGAGTGCTGGGATTAAAGGTGTGCACCACCATGCCCAGCCCATACTTCCTTTTTAAAATTTAATTTTAATACCTAAGATCTGTTATTTTAGGGAAATTTTCTCACTGACATAAATGTCTGAATCTATGTATGACTTAGTACTCAAATTATATAAGAAGAAAAAGCTTCTGAAAAAGCAAAAATCAGGACACAAGTATTTTTTGGTTTGCTGGATATAAACATGGTTGAGGGAACCTCAAATCACTCCTGTCCGACCCTGAGTAAAAGCCACAGTCTGCACAATGGCCCAGTGGGCCTTATACAACCTGTACCCTAGTGCCTCTTTGGTCTCATCTCCAGTTACATCTCCTAAGCTCTCTGTTCCAGCTGCACTACTTTGTTGTGACAGCAGGCCCATTCCTGTCCCAGGGCTTTGTGCTTACTGTTTACTGTCTGGTAACTTTCTCTAGCTGGCTAAAGGGATTTATGGGGCACATTCCCTCATGACTGCTGATTCCTTCCTTTATTGTCATCATCTGTGAGGGCTTTCCCTGATACCCTTAAAATATAATACTCTCACTAGGCTTTGGTAGTATACACCTTTAATCCCAGCACTCAGGTGGCAGGGGGAGATATATCTTTGTGAGTTCTACTAAGCTGAGGCTATAGGGAGACCCTGCCTTAAAAACAAAAAACAGGAGTGGTGGCGAACACCCGTAATCCCAGCACTTGGGAGGCAGAGACAGGCAGATCTCTGAGAGTAGGCCAGCTTGGTCTACCTAGTAAGTTACAAGCCAGTTGGTGCTACAGGGAGACCCTGTCTCAAAAAAGACAAACACAAAAACAGAATTAAACAAAAGTGTAATCCTCTTTCCCTACAGCCACAATCTTACTCCTGCTTCATTATTTTTTTATACTTCGCAAAGTCATCTAGCATATTGTATTTTTCACAATCTGTTTCCTGTAACTGAAAAACAAACTATACAAAGGCAGATTTGTGTTTCGTTGCTGTACTCAGACACATGAAAGGCCAGAAACAAACCTATTTAATAAATGACTTAATTTATTTTTCCTTCTGGACTTCCAACCTTAAAGATTCCACAATAATTCTGAGCATAAAGAACAGAATGTTTGCCAAGCATGGTGGCACATTAGTAATCCCAGCACCTGGGAGGATGAGGCATGAGGATCACGATTTTGAGGGCAGTCTAGGTGACTATAGTACAGTTCAAGTCCAGCTTGGACTACATAGGGAAATCCTGTCTCAAAACAAACAAAAAAGATCAAAATTCACCTCTCTATAAATTAGTAAAAGTAACTTTATTAGTAAGTTTTAGGTTTACAGTTTTAATAGGTTACAGACTTACAAAAAGTTGATTATAAGTGTATTTTCCCCTAACAAAGGTGCAATACCTTTATTTATTTAATTTATTTATTTACTTACTTATTTTGGGTCTCTTTGCGACAAAGTCTCCCTTAGCCCCAGCTGGCCTGGAACTATGTAGACCAGGCTGGCCTTGAACTCACAGAGGTCCTCCTGCCTCTGCCACCCAAGTGCTAGGGTTAAAAACATGCGCCACCACTCCCAGCATAAGAATATTTTTAAATTTATTTTTATGTGTATAAATGTTTTGCCTGCATGTAAGTGCACCCATGTATGCAATGCCCAAAGAGGCTAGAAGAGGGCATTGGACCTCCTGGAATTGGAATTACTGATGGTTATTAGCCACCTTGTGGGTGCTGGGACCCACACCTGGGTCCTCTGCAAGAGCAGCCAGTGCTCTTAACCACTAAGCCATCATTCTAGCCCTGCAATACCTGTTTGTAATAATAATGCTCTTGAAGGCAAAAAGAGGTAAGAACTCATATACTGTCAATGCTGTGTAAACTGACAGACCTATTATGAGAACTACCTGACATAACACTAAGACTGAGTGCTAATTTTATTATTTTTGTTTGCAAAAGTGAAGCACATTTTTTCTTATAAATTTCTTTTTGAGAATTTCATACACAAGTACTGTATTTATATCATTTCCACCCCTGCTTCCCTGCCAAATCCCCCAATTCCTCCCACATTCCCTTCCCCCTCAATTTCTTGTCCTCTTTGTTACATACACACACATAAATAAATAATGTACTAAGTCTATTTAATGGTGCTCCTGTATAAGTGTGTTTAGGAGTGACCACTTGGGATTAAATAACCCATCAGGGGCCTGGTCCCTGGAGGAACTGATTCTCCCTCTCTCGGCAGCCATGGATTGCCTTGGAGCTCTTCATCTAGAGGTGGGACTCTGTGAAATTTCCTCCATCCATATTGACTTACTGTAAGAATTTTTTTCTTAATTATATTCAATAATTTAATATTTTTATAATTTTAATATTTTCTTAATTATTTAATTTAAAATTATTTAATAATTTCTTAAAACAAAGTTATTTTTCCATTAATTACCTATTTGTGTGTGGGTGTGTGGTATGTGTAAGTATGCACATGCCACTGGTGCATGTGTGGAGGTCAGAGGACAACTTGTAAGACCAAGTTCTCTTCTTCCACAATGTGGGCCCTGGGATCAAACTCAGGTTGTCAGGCTTGGCAGCAAGTGCTTTTACCAAGTGAACATGAAGCTGGCCCTTAAGAACAAAATTTTTTATGTCATATTTTTATTGCCAGGATTCTATTAGAAATCCAAATGAAATGGCCCAAAAGGATGACTATAATTATCACACATACAAAAAAAAAAATTACTGAAGAACTAAAAAGTTTCATAGCAATTTCCAGAGTAGAAAACTCCATAGTGTTAGTGTTCCAACTAAAACATAGTATTTTTCTAAAGAAAGACTTAAGAACGTATCTTTTAAAATGGAGAGATGGCTCAGCAGTCAAGAGCAAGTACTGCTCATGCAGAGGACCTGAGTTCAGTTCCCAGCACCCATGTTGGGAGACTCACAACTACTGAAACTCCAGCTCCATGGGGGTCTGATGCCTCTGGATTTCATGGGCACTGCATTCACTGCTATACTCCCCACATACACATCAAAAAGGGAAAAAGGACCATATCTGTGCAGAATACAATCTGAAATGTGGAGCCGGGCATGGTGGTACACACCTTTAATCCCAGCACAGACAGGCAGATCTCTGTGAGTTCAAGGCCAGCCCTGGTCTACATAGAGAATTCCAGGTCAGCTGGTGGTTACAGGGAGACCCTGTCTCAAAAACAACAAAAAACTGAAACGTGCAGTTGATGTGATAAGGAGGAGGTAACCAACTTCATTCCAGCTCAGCAGTTACCATG